CCCCGGTGATGTATACACTTCTCCAGTTATTCAGAGTCTTTAGTGTTCGTGATTATTTCTTAGAAGAAACCATGGAAGCTCCTGAGCACGACAATCATTGTTGTTTCTGTACGTTTTCAAACGGAATCGCACCACCGGGGGGTCTGGGGGGTATGAAATACCCCCCAGCGAGAGAAACTTTAATAGTTCCCCGGTGATCATCCCCACTCAAACAGTGACAGTCATCAGTACCTGTTGTCGTTATTCTCGAGGAAGAGCAATCAATGTTTAATTTGTCTGGGGGGTATTCCATACCCCCACACCCCCCAGTAATGTATACGATTCTCCAGTTATTCAGAGTCTTTAGTGTTCGTGATTATTTCTTAGGAAAAACCATGGAAGCTCCTTAGCACGACAATAATTGTTGTTTCTGTACGTTTTCAAACGGAATCGCACCACCGGGGGGTCTAATACTCCCCAGCGAGAGAAACTTTGATAGTTCCCCAGTGATCATCCCCCCCCAAACAGTAACGGTCATCAATACCTGTTGTCGTTATTCTCGAGGAAGAGCCATCAATGTTTAATTTGTCTGGGGGGTATTCCTTACCCCCACACCCCCCGGTGATGTATACACTTCTCCAGTTATTCAGAGTCTTTAGTGTTCGTGATTATTTCTTAGAAGAAACCATGGAAGCTCCTGAGCACGACAATCATTGTTGTTTCTGTACGTTTTCAAACGGAATCGCACCACCGGGGGGTCTGGGGGGTATGAAATACCCCCCAGCGAGAGAAACTTTAATAGTTCCCCGGTGATCATCCCCACTCAAACAGTGACAGTCATCAGTACCTGTTGTCGTTATTCTCGAGGAAGAGCAATCAATGTTTAATTTGTCTGGGGGGTATTCCATACCCCCACACCCCCCAGTAATGTATACGATTCTCCAGTTATTCAGAGTCTTTAGTGTTCGTGATTATTTCTTAGGAAAAACCATGGAAGCTCCTTAGCACGACAATAATTGTTGTTTCTGTACGTTTTCAAACGGAATCGCACCACCGGGGGGTCTAATACTCCCCAGCGAGAGAAACTTTGATAGTTCCCCAGTGATCATCCCCCCCCAAACAGTAACGGTCATCAATACCTGTTGTCGTTATTCTCGAGGAAGAGCCATCAATGTTTAATTTGTCTGGGGGGTATTCCTTACCCCCACACCCCCCGGTGATGTATACACTTCTCCAGTTATTCAGAGTCTTTAGTGTTCGTGATTATTTCTTAGAAAAAACCATGGAAGCTCCTGAGCACGACAATAATTGTTGTTTCTGTACGTTTTTAAACGGGATCGCACCACCGGGGGGTCTGAGGGGTATGGAATACCCCCCAGCGAGAAAAACTTTGATAATTCCCCGGTGATCATCCCCACCCAAACAGTAACGGTCATCAATACCTGTTGTCGTTATTCTCGAGGAAGAGCCATCAATGTTTAATTTGCCTGGGGGGTATTCCATACCCCTCACACCCCCCAGTGATGTATATACTTACACTTCTCCATTGATTCAGAGTCTTTAGTGTTCGTGATTATTTCTTTGGAAAATCCATGGAAGCTCCTGAGCACGACAATCATTGTTGTTTCTGTACGTTTTCAAAAGGGATCGCACCACCGGGGGGTCTGGGGGGTATGGAATACCCCCCAGGGAAAGGGACTTTGACAGTTCCCCGGTGATTATCCCCACCCAAACAGTGGCGGTCCTTAATACTTGTTGTCATTCGTTTCGAAGAATAGTCATCAATGTTTCTTTTGCCTGGGGGGTATTCCATATCCCTCACACCCCCGGTGATGTATACACTTCTCCATTGATTCAGAGTCTTTAGTGTTCGTGATTATTTCTTAGGAAAAACCATGGAAGCTC